AGGGATAGTGTAACCGTTTTCGGCAGAACGCTTGTCGAGGGATTGACTTCACTTGTCTCTTTGACGAGTTGTTAGTTTGGTGCGGAGAATGACAAAACTCAGTGAGGATGCCGTCGAAACATTTGAGAAGGTACCCAGTCCACTGTATGATGCTAAGAATCATGACAACTACTATGACAAACGACTTCGGACTAGGTGCTTTCTACCAAGTCGCCCTGACAACAAGACCAAGTAACGACAGCGAGGTCAACCCATTCTATGAATTTAAAGGAGACTGCGACCATACCAGAGGCCAAAACAGCTTGGTCTTCATAGCTTCGCATCAATTTTGTTGCCATCTCGGAATTGGCTATGACTTTCAGAGATTGTTTTGAAAACTTTTTTTTGTAAGGAGGTACATTATGAAGAGATTTGTAGATCAATCTCATCAGAAGACGTTGGCTGTATTGCGTTCTACTGCATCCGCTTGGCTTCCATGAGACATCTTGCAACATTTCGTGCGAAGACGGGCTGAACTATCGTTCGTCATGCCACATGACAAATATCGACAGAGCTGGGACTCTTTTTTGCAAAATCCTCAAGTTAACATTGAGTCAGGATGACGTACCGAAACGTTGGAGAATTTTTCGTGGACCGTATCAACCTGAAACCCGTATTCATGCTAAATGGCTGCTGGGGAGAGTGACCGACGAATCTCTTCATCATGTACTGCCATACGAAATGAAAGTCTTCGCAACAATCTTATCTCAGAAGATTCTTCAAAATCCGCATTTTCTTCTTATATACAAACTTTATCGAAGCATGGCAACTTAATGCTCTATTTGAAGCCTTTGTGCAGCCTCAGACTCACCAACTTTTCCGACTACATGAAGAGCAAATCGGCTTAGTGCATCATCTGCGCGTTAGTGGCTCTTCACAGATTGATTGTATTATCACACCAATTCATCTTGCACTTTGGTGCAATGTCTGCTAAAATCAGGTGGATGTCTGTGGTTGCCATGCATCTGAACGAGCAGGGGGAGGAAGCAGACCACTTACCCTATTTAACTTGACCGATTGCATCAGGTTGATCACAGACAGAAGATGATCCATTCACGCAGCCTAATTTCTCTACATTATATCCATTTCTAAGTCTGTCTGGGCATATGTTTGTGTAGATATTTTGTAGTCTGAATTCAGATAGCACTCTGGACCGAACGATCGAGCATGAGATGCGACATGCAAGCAAGAGGATAGAAAAAAGAAGATACAAAAGCAGAAGACATGTTATTGCATATCAAGGTTAGTTGGGTTGCCCTAACTATGATGTATGAGGGCTGCATGAGGGCGAAGTACGAGAGCTCTGGGCACTTGTGATACCGACTTAATCATAGTTGTATATTGTGACATGACTTTCGAGTTAGGAGGAAAAGTGGGTTGGAAACTATTCGTGATGTCATCTCACCGGAAGCCGAAGAAGGATTGCCGCGTAGGAAAGACTATTGTTGTTGTGTGAACGACTCTTCGGTTCACTGTTCTGCGACCCGGATGAATCTGTGCTGAGCTTTCGTCTATACTACCGCGACATTATTCATTCATACTTTAGGAAATATATCGATCGTAGGTATGAAGACCAAGATGGTGTGGCCTTTTGTGTGGTCGCAGTCTCATTTCGTTATATAGAGGTTGTTTGACCTTGTTTCCGCAACATGGTCATATTGGTATGAATACTTGAAGGAACGCACCTAGTTCGGGGTCCATTGTCTGCATGATAATTTCCAAAGTTAAACCGTGGACATGGTACATTCCCAACCGGCATCGTAGTCGGCATCGTCAGTGAGTATCGCCATTCTTAGCACCACACAACAACTCGTCAAAGAGACAAGTGAAGCCAGTAAAAATTGTAATAGTGAAGGCAGGATAGGATGCAACCGGAAATGCGAATAACGCAGGGCAGAAGGG